CCCCTACACTTTTTCCAAGTTTTTCATGTTTTAAGGGGGAAATACAAGCAAATCATAAAGGTTTTCAAAACTTAAAAGCTGATGTAATTATAAGATTTTTCTGACAAACTTTTAGATACTTTATCCCTTTTGTAATATGTAGATCATGAGGGAGATTTTCTAAATATAATTACATGGTTTTCAAATAACGTGGGAACTTAACAAATCATTCAAATTATTATGGGAATAATTTGGGATCTTCACTACTTGTTTTACAGATTCAGATTTCGTGCAAAGTCAATAATATAAACTATGTCTGGTTTAGTTTATCCATGTTTTATCTAGAGTATCATGATAAATAATTACTTCATATTTGATTATTTATACTCTACCTTGTTCCAAATGATTTTGAAACTCGAGAATGATCAATTACCTGGTGAATCAGTTAATACTAGCGTGTGAGACTTGTCTTCGTTATACCCTTCGGGGTACCAGTAAATCCTCTCTAGAAGTATAACCAGAGTCTCCTGGAGGGAGAGCGTGAAATTCATGGATAGATCTATTCGGGACTGACAATCCCACATATAAACTGCTAGCTAGAGATAGGCGGGCACGCCTAAGGTGAAAAATTTTGGAATCGATCGACGCCTAAAGAACGTCAAGGAGGTCACGAGTCAACTCAGTATGGTTATACGACTCATAATACGTATTAAACTAACTAACTTTGTTCACGGATTTCTTTCTTTTTTCTATAGTTTTATTTATGTAATAAAACTACCTACTTTCGTATTGGAGGGTATTCCAGGGATCTTAACCTATAGTTTTATGTATTAAAACTACCTACTTTCCTACTGGAGGGTGATCCAGGGATCTTAACCTATAGTTTTATGTATTAAAAACTACATACTTTCGTACTGGAGGGTATTCCAGGGGTCTTAACCTATAGTTTTATGTATTAAAACTACCTACTTTCCTACTGGAGGGTAATCCAGGGATCATAATTTATGGTTTTCTTAACTTACTGGTGATAGCCAGGGCTTTTCTTATCTTATGGAAATCGACTTACATGTTAGAAAATATGGGATTTTCTGGGAAAACATGCATATGTATTTAATAACTCAATAACAAGGGTTTTCGATATTACAACATTCTTTATCAAAGGAAACGAAGTATTCTTCACAAGATTAAATAACCAGTTTTCCTTACAAAACATGCTTATGAACTCACCAGCTTTATGCTGATATTTTAAAACTGCTTGTATTGTTAGGTTCTCGTTAGACAGGTATTTTGCGTTCTTTTGGAGAAGGCGAAGCGTATAGAAGCCTCATCTTTACTTTTGTTCGTACTGATGTATATATAAAACATGTATTACTTTGTTTTCAAACAAATCTAAATATTTCTATGTAATGTAATGGTTGTGTTTACTATGTTTGCTATATACATTGGTTTTGATACTTTACGTGACGTCCTCCGCCCCAGAATGTTTCCGCTATCGGTTTCGGGATGTGATAGTTTCCTTTAGCTCCACAAGAAAGAACCGCTCTGAGTTGCTAAGCCTTGTCCACTACGACGTATGTGGACCCATTGAAGTAGAATCTCTTGGTTGAAGCTGGTATTTTGTGACATTCATTGATGATGCATCACGAAAAGTATGGGCATATTGTTTGAGAACGAAGGACAAAGTATTGGACCACTTAAAGCTTTTCATCCAATGGTGGAAAGAAAAACAGGCAAGAAGTTAAAATGTCTCCGATCAGATAATAGAGGCGAGTACTATTCCCGTGAGTTCTCTAAATACTGCACAGAACATGGTATCAGACACGAAAAGACTGTCCCACGAACCCCACAACACAACGGTGTAGCAGAACGGATGAATCGCACTATTGTTGAGAAAGTTCAATGCATGCTCAACATAACTAAACTCCCAAAGCCATTTTGGGGTGAAGCTGTATTGACATCTTGCTATCTCATAAATAGGTCACCTTCCGCTCCATTGAATTTTGAAGTTCCGAAGAAGATATGGACGGGTAAAGACATATCATATTCTCACTTGAGAGTATTTGGGTGCAAGGCATTTGCACATGTATCAAGTGAATTGCAGAAGAAGTTGGACCTCAAATCCACTCCATGCATCTTTATTGGATATGGAGACGAAGAGTTCGGGTACAAGCTATGGGACCCAGAACTAAAGAAGGTTTTTCGAAGTAGAGATGTAGGTTTCTATGAAAACCAATATTATGATTTCAAAGCATCGATTAACAAACAATCATGCTCCAAAGTTTCAGAAATAACATCTGAAAATAAAGATGATGTTTCCACTAAAAAAGACGGTGAAGAAGTTGATGATGCAAATCAAGAAGGTGTTGAGCAGGGGGAGCTTCCACCCCCATGATACTTTAGATATATTTCCAGAAGTTACAAACGAAGGAACTCAAATTAGACGATCCGAACCAGTACGTGCTCCATCAACAAGATATTCGACTTCAAACTACATCCTTCATACTAGTGAGGGGGAGCCATAGAGTTTTTAAGAAGCTCAATCTCATGTTGACAAAGCAAAGTGGCAGAAGGCCATAGAAGAAGAAATGAATTCTTTGCAGAAGAATCCAACATATGATTTGGTGAAACTCCCCAAAGGAAAGAAAGCCTTGAAAAACAAGTGGGTTTTCAAGTTGAAGAAAGACGACAATGGAAATACTATGAAGTATAAGGCAAGACTCGTTGTCAAAGGTTTCCAACAAAAAGAAGGAATCGACTTTGATGAAAAATTTTCACCTGTTGTGAAGATGATGTCTATTCGATTTGTACTCGGATTAGTTGCCATTCTAGATCTTGAACTTGAGCAGATGGATGTGAAAACAACCTTTCTCCATGGTGATTTGGATGAGGAAATATACATGGAGCAGCCCGATGGCTTTAAAGTCCCAAAGAAAGAGCATCTCGTTTGCAAATTAAAGACGAGCCTTTATGGACTTAAGCAAGCCCCAAGGCAGTGGTACAAGAAGTTTGATTTATTTATGATGAATCATGAGTACAAGAGAACTGTTGCAGACCATTGTGTCTATCTAAAGAAGTTTCCAGATGGGAAATTTGTCATCCTTTTGCTCTACGTGGATGATATGTTGATAGCAGGCCAAGATGCAACGATGATCAAAAACTTGAAGAAGGAATTGTCTAAGTTCTTTGATATGAAAGACTTAGGCCCAGCACAACAGATATTGGGCATGAAAATTATCCGTGATAGAAAATCAAGAAAATTGTTCTTATCACAGGAGGAGTATGTTGAACGTGTGATCAAAAGGTTCAACATGGAAAGTGACAAGCCCGTTGGAACACCCTTGGCTAATCACTTCAAGTTAAGTAAGAAAAATTGTCCCTCTTCTCAGAAAGAAAAAGAAGAGATGAAAGTAGTCCCTTATTCCTCAGCTGTAGGAAGTCTTATGTATGCGATGGTATGTACAAGACCAGATATTGCTCATGTTGTTGGTGTTGTGAGTAGATATCTAGCTAATCCGGGAAACCAACATTGGGAAGCGGTCAAATGGATACTTCGATACCTAAAGGGTAGTTCAAAACTATGTTTATGCTAAGGGGGAGCAACGCCAATCGTGGAAGGTTATACAGATGTCGATATGGCAGGAGATATTGATAATAGAAAATCTACATCAAGTTACATTTTCACTTTGGCAGGGGGAGCTATCTCATGGCAATCCAAGTTACAGAAGTGTGTCGCACTATCAATAATAGAAGCCGAGTACATTGTTGCCGTTGAAGTTGGGAAGGAGCTTATATGGATGAAACAGTTTCTTTAAGAATTAGGCTTTCCACAAGAAGAGTACATCATTCATTGCGATAGTCAGATTGCTATGGACCTGAGTAAGAAATCGATGTACCATTCCCCCACAAAACATATTGATATACGTTATCACTGGCTTAGCGAAGCAATTAAGGGACGGGAATTGAAGTTGTTAAAGATCAACACCAACAACAATCCTGCATACATGCTAACAAAGGTGGTGACACAAGAGAAACACAAACTATGTGCTGACATAGTTGGGATGAGGATTGTTGGACGGAGACTGGAAGGGGAGATTTGTTGTGTTCCAGCCTCCAAAGCTACAGTAGCAACCTTTGTTGACAAAATAAGACATGGGGTGACAAAGTCTTTCAACCCTATGATGAACACAGTTAATGAAGGCAATTACAATGGTGGCTGCCAAGACTATAAATAGAGATTTTCATTCTTCAGTTGTAAGCATCTCAAACACAGAGAAAAAGATAATACAACACTTAGAGTGAGAGTGTTAGTGAGAGGGTTGGTTTTTTGTAATAGTTGAATATAAGAGTTGTTCCTCCTATTGTAATTCTATTTTAGTGTTTAATAGAAGAGTTTTCCAACCCCAACAAAATATTGGAGAATGAAAGGAGAAAAGAATGAAGAAATAATAGAAAAGTTCTAAATACTCTCTATACCATGTAGATTCATATCATTCTCATTCCTCACAAATGTGTACAATAGAGAAACACATAGGAACATATATGGACCGTGCCAAAAACCCTATCACTATACATATACATGGACTCTACAAAATAATACAATGCCAATAGAATATGTACGCGAATAGTATAAATAATAATTATACCTTTGTGAAATTAACTAATTACATAAATAGTCCATGGAATTATATAATTAAATTATTTTCCAAGAGAATACTCTTACATATGTGATTAGAGTAGGTAAATCAACATAACATCAAATCGTTTGTTGTTGTTTGGTCACATATGTCGTTTCCTTATTTCTTCATAGACTCTTTGATGTGTCGTAGGAAATCGAGTGAATAATACATACTAGGAACACAGAACACGATTGAAGTGTCGTCAAGTAACAACAAAAAAATTTCTTGATTGAACTGTCTACAAATAAATAACAATATTATATCAAAATTTATACACATACTTATGTTGTGTATATACAATATATATGTATACAATAGTTATATAAGGACATGTAAACGTATTAATTAAAATTGATTAGCCAAGTCATGGGTGCTAACAAACGTACCATGAAACCCATACGGCACTCTACCAGCTAACCTCACTATGCCTATTTCCTTCATACTTGAAGCTTCAACAATTACTAATTCGGACCTCTCCATAGCTTCATCCCTAACATAACTCATTATGTATCCTTCATCTTCTTTATCACTGCCTTCTACAGGAATGAAACAAGGTTCACCTCCAAACCGTCCATTCCCATAAAATAACTTGGAGACAAATCCCGTCTCCAAGTCAACTTTGGCTATGCCATTGCATTTTGGCCAAGGTTCAGCTATTGCTAAGTAGACATACTGTGTCTTTCGTCCAAGTAGTCTTTTGTTTACGTTGCCAGCATCAAGGTTGATGCCTGACACCAGAACCCGTTGCGTTGACTGTCCGGTTGTTCTGTTTAACCGAATTTCGGTCAATTCGCTTCTGAGAAGGTCGAAATTGATTTCATTGAAAATGGCATCAGGCGGTGTCATGCATGACCCAATTACTACAATGATTTGGTCACCCTTTACGTCAACTTCTTCCCATGCATTCCATAAATGGTAACAAAAGCAATCGGGTACGTCGATCCATTGGATACTTGATTCATTTTCGACGGATTTTGGTAGGATACCGTATCTGGATACCTTATTCGGGTCAAGTAGAACGGGTGATTTGCCTTGAACCATTTCAGATAACTTGAATACAACTTGGTGATCCGGAATGACGACGTGACTTTGCGTGATGGCGAAGTCATGGATCATTGTTGGCTGATTTAGTGAGATGGAGACCTCACGTGACTTCTTACCGTTTTTCTCGAAACTGAAGAATTTAAGGTAAGGCTTATTTAAAACATCGTAACTCAGCGAGAACAGCTCGCCTGTAACGGGGTCCACTTTAGGGTGCGCAATCAAAGGGCAGTTAACCTGTCCATCATAATCAAACCGTCCATTTGTTGCGAGATCACCGTCACTTTTTATGTTGATGCTGTACGGTAGATCATCCTCCGACATCGCGAGCAATCGACCGTTAAAATAAACCAAACCGGCATTAGCAACGCCGATTCCATGAGCCGTGTCCAATAACCCGGCTAAACCTCTTGCATAAAACAGAGCCAGCCGAGCCAAACCAAGGTGGCCATGCAGTTCGCCAATTGGCTTAGGGAAATACGGCCGGCCTAACGATAATTCTTGCTTGAGACGGCTGGTTCGAGTGAACCGGCTGCAGTAGCTGGCTTTATTCTTTGGTCCCAACTTCACAGCGTGTATCATCCCATCGCCGTCGAAAAGGTGGTGGCCACCGGTTGGCTTAAACATGGGGTTGGCACCATTTCTAAGGTAAACACCATTTAAATCGTTAGGTATTTCACCAATTACCTCCAGACCATGATGGACCGGACATTCTGGAACTGGCGCAAAGTTTCCCATTAGCTGAACCGCCGGATCAACCTGGCGTGATCGTTTCTGATCGTTTTCAAGAACATTAAGTGACCTTTCGACAAAGTCTAGAGCCGAGGCTGCTAGTTTTTGAAATGGGTTGAGCTGCGGAGGCGACACCGTCGATAATTCCGGCAAGGATTTGGTTATCGGTTTTATCTTAGGTGGCTTTGACGTCTGGGGTGGTGTGTTTGTAGTCGGATGATGATTTATTTGAATTATGCATGTAACTGATGGGCGTGTACTTATACGTGCTAATGTTGCAGTTGAACATCTTGTGAGAGTCACAGAGGTGTCCATTTTTAGATAGAGAAGAAGGAGGCGGTGGTAGTGATGATGGTTGTAAGAGGGGGCAAGGGAGATTAATGACCTGGGAAATCAGAAATGAAAAGTGATGAAATATATATGCTGAAAAGTAGGGGTAAAAGTGAAAATTGGATACACGTGATAGCTTTAATGGTGGTCCACCTAGCATAGTAGGGACGCGTGGAATATGTACGAGGTTTTTACATTTCACCATTAGCTACCTTGTATAGGGTAATGTCAGTGGTTTTGGGTTTTGGGCTGAGGTTGCATGCCTTCCGCGTGCAAACCCCTCCCAAGTTCGGTGAGTTGCGTGTGTTGTGTGTGGCGTGAGGCCGAAGACGGGTGAAGACGATCTCTTTATTGGTCAATTCAGCTTCGAATGTTATATATATTTAATTTCAAACCGTTTAACCATTAAAAAAAAAAACTTTTTATTACTTTTCAAATTCTCTCTTTATATGTACGTCTACATATAATTTCCACTAAACCACACACATTTTTTCAAAACAAACACACACACGTTAAATTTCCACCTCCGATTTCTTCATCATCCGATAATAATGATTCTGATGAGAATTTAATTTTGTATACACTGTTGTCCACGATACGACACATAGTACGTGAGAAAGACGAAAGTTCAAACGTCGAGAAGAAGCATATAAAATGGATCAACCGGGATCCTCAGGCGGCACATGAACTTTTAGTAAGTGATTATTTTTCTGTTGATAGTTTATATGATCTATCAAAATTCGAAGAACGTTTTCGTATTAGTAGAAATTTATTTTAACGTATAGCTAGAGATTTGGAACGTAATTGTAAATTTTCCAATTACGATGGGATGCTAGAGGTAAACGCATCTTTACTACGATACAAAAATGTACGAGCGCTCTTAAACAATTGGCATACTGCATCGCCACAGATGCATCAGATGAGTATCTGAAAATGTCTGAAAGGATGGGTCAAGAGTGTACTTATCTATTTTGGGATTCTGTCATAGAGCTTTACCGTGATATATACTTGCAATATCCGACTAAAAGCTATGTCGAACATTTGTATGTTGCGCATCAAGCTAAACATGGTTTCCAGGGATGCTTGGTACTTGGTAGCATTGATTGTACACATTGAGAGTCTGCAAATTGTCCCAACGCGTTGCGTAGCCAGTTCACGCGAGGTGATCATGGGGTACCGACTGTTATTTTGGAGGCAATTGTTTCAAATAACCTATGGTTTTGGCATACATTCTTTGCTATGGCCGGGTCAAACAATGACCTAAATATGCTCCAAGCGTCTCCGATATTTAATGATATTTTATAGGGTAAAACACCATATATGTCATATGTTATCAATGGAAATGAATACAAATATGTGTATTACCTAGGTGATAAGATATATCCAGAATACGCTACATTTGTCAAGTAAAATACATTTCCAGCCGACGATAACGGAAAATGTTTAAGTTAGCACAAGAATCTGCAAGGAATGATGTAGAACGGGCATTTGGAGTCCTCAAACAAAAATGACAAATAATCAAAGTTCTGGCACGAACATGAGATAGAGAAAAACTGACAACGGTATTGTGTGCTTGTGTTATTTTACATAACATGATAATACAAGAAGAGGGCAGGGTTATTTGCTCATATATCACAAACGATATACTTAAGCCACCTGCAATAATACCAATTGGCAGCTAGCATACTTCTCAAGGGTTTTGGAAATACAAAATCGTAAAACACATCACAATCTACGGTATGATTTGACAGAATACATATGGGAACAACAATTTCAAGAGCAAAATGACAGTGAAGACAAGATGGATGACGATGGTGACGACGAGACAGATGATGCTAGTGACGATAACGATGACGATTAGAATTTTTCTATGTTTTTTATGTTCTTTAATTTTTATTTTTTTTAGATAATGTAATGTTTAATTTTACTAATTTAAGTTTTAACTTTCTATGTTTTTAATTAGTGAAATATGGTTTTATTTTTTATGTTTTAAAAAAATTAATGTATATTCTAAATTATGTTTTTAATTAATATAATGTTTAAAAAAAATTGTTAAGCGGTAGCCATTTTCAATATTTAGTGGGTTAGTGGTAGGTTGGTTGTGAAGCTAACGTAACACACATGTAACAACATTTTTTGTTACATTTTTTTTTGATGAGATGGGTGTCACCACTCCCCAAAACTTTACTAGAAACTATACAACCTCCGAGAGAAAAACTTGTGTTGGAAAAGCTGCTTAAAGCCTTAAATCTTGTTCCAATAAATGCCCAGATACGAAAAGCAGTAAAAATTCTGTACCATTAGACGAAAAGTATAAAACGATAGCTATTTATGATACATATTATCGGTTAATGTAAACCGAATCTGTACGATGTAATCGATTGATACGAGCGGAAGCTAAGTCGATAACATCAAGATTGGAGCACATGCTTTCTTTGACACAAAAATTGCTCACATCGTTATTAAAAAAGAGCAATGGTGTTCGTTTTAAGTTTTGTTCGTGTTTAAAATAATTTAGATTATTAAAATAATTATAACAAATAATTGTAACGAATATATATATATATATATATATATATATATATATATATATATATATATATATATATATATATATATATATATATATATATATATATATATTAATTTAGAGTTAATAAATCATATTATCTTAATATTAAAATCATATCATCTCAATAACCGTATCTTTAAATTTCATAAAAAGAATAAAAATAAAAATATTTGTTGAATTATATAGCAAGATGGCCAAAGAGAGACAAAAAAAATCAACCGTCCGGAAATAAAAGTCCAAATGGTGATCACAATGAAGACTTTGTTCACGTGATTAAGGACTGCATAGCTCTACGAAAAGAAATCAGCTGCCACCTTAGCAAAGGACACCTCAAAGAGATCCTTGGGAGAAAAAGACAAAAGTCCAACGAAAACAGCCAAGACGATCACATGATCCCAGAGAAACCAGGATTTTCAGCCTCTGATGCTAAGATAATTAACATTGTCTAAGGAAAACAGCCAAGACGATTTGGTTGATTATTATTTGTGTAATTTTTGACCAAAACTATTTTGGAGCCCACCGTGGGGCCGTGGTGTTCAAAATCCTCGAAAAAATCATGTCTACACAACCGATCCTTTCTTCGACCTTTGCTCCTTATTCCAACCAAATAGCTACCACCTCCTCTGAGTGGACCCCCCACTTAGAGGAAAACATCCGATGCTTGCAAGAAAATCAACCCTACAGTCGCTAGTCCTGGAAGTTTGGGATGCTCAGGGTTCTAGGATCCGATTGTCTCAGTCACTACTACAGAACTTTTCGCTATGATGAGGAAAATGACGCAACAGGTGACCCAACAGCAAGAGGAGAATATATTACTACTCATAGAAGATGAGAGGATGAAGGAAGGATTTTAGAAATCCCAGGAAACTATGCCCACAGTTGTGCATCCAAGGATCCTAGACTTTAATAAATCAGGATCCTCAAAAAATTGCCAGAAGGACATAATTCCTGCCACTGTGGCGTCACCCTGGGGGGCCAATAATGGACAACCGAGCATCCATGATTAATGAGCCTTTCAACAATCCTAGAAACCTTGACTCTAGTAACATCTTAAACAGGAATACTACTAATACTAAATGTACTAATGTTGATGTAGGAATAAACCCGAACTTGGCTAGGGAACTTCAACAATTAAGACAAATGATCTCTTCTGTACCCGTAGTGGTCCAACCAATACCAGAAGCATCCCTTACAAGACACAGGAGCTCGATATTTGCTCCTACCGTAGTCGATATTGAAGTTTCTAAACGCTTCGAAACTCCCAACATGATGTTATACAATGGGGCTATAGATCCTGAAGAGCATATAGCACAATACAGAGAAAAGATAGAGACCATTCCCATCCCAAGGTACTTGAAGGAGGCTTTCCTATGCAAAGGATTTGGTTCGAATCTTACATGATCATCCCTTAAATGGCTACTAAACATTCCCCCATACTCTATTGCTTCATTTGCACACTTAGTCAATATCTTTAATAACCAGTTTTCTTGCAGCAGAACCTTCGGGAATACCACTAGTGATCTCTACCGGATGGTTCAGGATCCTAAGGAAAAACTTAGGGACTTTGTTAATAGGTTTGGCAGGGAAGCTCTGAGCATCCCCAACACTGAGATGGCCACTGCTGTGGAAGCTTTTAAAATGGGATTAAGAAAGCATTCACCCTTCTACGAAGACCTTGTGATGACCCCATGAAAAAGATTGGATGAAGTCAAATGCCGGTCATTGAGGTTGATAAGGCTCGAAAAGGATAAACAGATCCACAAGAGAAGCAACCCTTCGGATCATTATGACAACCCCAACCGGAAGTCCGAATCCTCGACTCAAAGATCCTACATATCGAAGACCTATTCCAAATTGGATCATCACAGGGCTAATAACCTTGAAGATGGAGGAGAAGAACAAGAACATCCTAAATCACTAACTATTGTTTTTCTGTGGATATTTTAGGTGTAATTCATGCTATGCAGGATCTTAAGGATAAAGCAAGATGGCCAAAGAGAGATAAAAAAATCCACCGCTTGGAAAGACAAGTCCAAATGGTATAATTACCATGAAGACTTTGTTCACATGATGGAGGACCGCATAGCTCTACAAAAAGAAATCAACTGCCTCCTTAGCAAAGGACACCTCAAAGAGATCCTTGGGAGAAAAAGACAAAAGTCCAAGGACAACAACCAAGACGATCACAGGATCCCAGAGAAACCAGGATTTTCACCCTATGATGCTAAGATAATTAACATTGTCTAAGGAAAAAAGCCAAGACGATTTGGTTGATTAGTATTTGTGTAAATTTTAACCAAAACTATTTAGCGCCCACCATGGGGCCGTGGTGTTTAAAATCCTCGAAAAAATCATGTCTACACAACCGATCCTTTCTTCGACCTTTGCTCCTTCCATTCCAACCAAAAAGCTA